TGCACTGGTATGAACATGGCTTAGTAAAGCCTCAACCTCTGGGCTCAAGCAATCCTGTTGCCCCAGCCTCCCAAGTAGCTGGAACCACAGGTGTATGCCTCCACACCCGGCTAATTTGTTTAAATTTTTGTTTTGCCATGTTGCCCAGACTGGTCTCAAACTCCTGGTCTCAAGTGATCCTCCCATCTCAGTCTCCCAAAGTGCCGGGATTACAGGCATGAGCCACTGCTCACAGCCGTGGGATGAATTTTTGATGGATACTTGGGAAATTAAGAAAAAAAGACAATGAAGGCCAGACGTGGTGGCTCATGCCTGTAATCCCAGCACTTTGGGAGGCCGAGGCAGATGGATCACTTGAGGTCAGGTGTTCCAGACCATCCTGGCCAACATGGAGAAACCCCATCTCTACTAAAATTACAAAAAGTTGCTGAGTGCAGTGGCGCATCCCTGTAATCCCAGCTACTCGGGAGGGTGAGGTGGGAGAATCCCTTGAACCGGGAAGGTGGTGGTTGCAGTGAACCAAGATCGCACTACTGCACTCCAACTTGGGCGACAGAGCAAGACTTCATCTCAAAATAACAAACAAACAAAAAATGAGATAATTATTACAACCAGGAAAGATAAAATTTTGTACGAGAAAAGAAATGTAATTATGGTGCACTTGCTAAGTGTGAAAGATATTAACAGTTACATACTGATAATAATGTAAAATCTGGCTACTGGCTTAATACACAATTTTTATTTTTATTTATTTATTTTTTTTGACACAGGGTCTCGCTCTGTCGCCCAGACTGGAGTGCAGTGGTGCAATCTTGGCTCACTTCATGGAATACTTGGGACGAACCTCTGCCTCCAGGGTGCAAGCGATTCACGCCCCAGCCTCCCATGCAGCTGGGATTACAGGCACACACCACAACGCCGGGCTAATTTTTGTATTTTTAGTAGAGATGAGATTTCGCCATGTTGGCCACGCAGGTCTTGAATTCCTGGCCTCAAGTGGTCTGCCTGCCTCAGCCTCCCAAAGTGCTGGGATTACAGGCATGAGCCACTGTGCCCCGACTTAACACATAATTTTGATTTGACTACACTGGAAACATTGGTAGAGAGGAAGTGGGGTTGGGGTGTAAGAAAGCCAAAGTCTATTCATCTTTACAGGGAGTCAACAAATAGTGTCTCAAATTGGTCAATCAGACAATACCAGCATAAACACACTATGAGTAATATGAAGGTAAAAAACAGAAGAACAAGCTCAAAAGACTTTAATGCAAAGAAGTGGGAAATAAATTCACTATTTTTTTTAGTTATAAACCTTTTACAACTTGACTATTAAAAACGCATATTTTGAGGCCGGGTGTGGTGGCTCATGCCTGTAATCCCAGTACTTTGGGAGGCTGAGGTGGGCAGATCACTTGGGGTCAGGAGTTCGAGACCAGCCTTGCCAACATGGCAAAACCCTGTCTCTATTAAAAATACAAAAATTAGCTGGGTGTGGTGGTGTGAGCCTGTAATCCCAGCTACTCGGGAAACTGAGGCAGGAGGACCT